TATATTCCTTTCTATTCCCATTCAGTTTTCTCCAGAGGTCAACCATATCTAACTTTTCTAAGATTTTATTCACCTTCTTAACTTCTTTCTTGCTTATTCTGTAGTTACATTTATCTAGTTCTGAGAGGAGGAGGTTGAGGTCCCCCACTAGTATAGTTTTGCTGTCTATTTCTTCCTGTAACTCCCTTAATTCCCCTAACAATGTGGATGCTATACTACCTAGTGCATATATATTTAGTATTGATATTAGTATGTCTATGGTATCTTTTAGTAGGATGTAGTTTACTTCCTTATCTCTTTTAATTTGATCTCTTTTTGCTTTTCCTTTGTCTGAGATCAGGATTGCTACCCCCGCTTTTTTTACTTCAGCTGAAGCATAATATATTCTGCTCCAGCCTTTTATCTTCACTCTGTATATATCTCTCTGCTTCAAATGTGTTTCTTGTAAACAATATATTGTTTACAATATATTGTAGGATTATTGTTTCTAATCCACTCTGCGACCTGCTTCTGTTTTGTGGGAGAGTTCATCCCATTCAAATTCACAGTTACGATTTATTTATTTATTTATTTTGGTTGGGCAATGGGGTTAAGTGACTTGCCCAGAGTCACACAGCTAGTAAGTGTTATGTGTCTGAGGCCGGATTTGAACTCAGGTCCTCCTGAATCCAGGGCCGGTGCTCTATCCACTGCGCCACCTAGCTGCCCCCATAGTTATGATTTCTAACTGTGTCTTTCCACCTTATTTTCCTCCAGTTTATGCTTTTCTCTCTCCTTTCTTCCTTTCATTCCTCACCAGTGTTTTGCTTCTGACCACTGCCTCACTTAAGCTTTCCCTTCTATCAGCTCCCCTCCCCTTTCTTTTACCCTTTCTCTACTACTTCTTTCTTCCCTTCTGCCCTCCCTTCTATCCACCCCCTCCCCTGTTTTTTTCCCTTACCACTCCTACTTCCTGTAGGATAAGATAAATTTCTATTCCCAATTGAGTGTTTATGTTATTCCCTCTTTGAGCCAAATCTAATGAGAGTAAGTTTCAAACAATGCTCGTCTCCCTCCCTTCTTTCCCTCTACTGTAATAGGTTTTTGTGCCATTTCATGTGATGTAATTTACCCTTTTCTGTCTCGTCCTTGTCCTCTTCTCCCAGTACAATCTTTTTTTTCACCCCTTATTTAATTATTTTTTTTAATTATCACATCAAAGTCAACTTACACCCACACACTCTTTCTATATACACCGCTTCTTAATGTTGTAATAATGATACAGTTCTCAAGAGTTACAAGTATCATCTTCCCATGTAGGGATGTAAACAGTTTACCCTTATTGAATAACATTTTTCTTTCTTGTTTACCTTTTTATGCCTCTCTTGAGTCTTGTATTTGAAGATCAAATTTTCTGTTGAGCTCTGGTCTTTTCATCAGAAAGGTTTAGAAGTCCCCTATTTCACTGAATGTCCATCTCTTCCTCTTGAAAGATTATGCTCAGTTTTGCTGGATAGTTGATTCTTGGTTGTACTCCAAGCTCCTTTGACTTATGGAATATCATATTCCATGCCCTATGGTCTTTTAATGTAGAAGCTGCTAGGTCCTGCATAATCCTGACTGTGATTCCATGATATTTAAAGTGTTTCTTTCTGGCTGCTTGTAGTATTTTCTCCTTGACCTGATAATTCTGGAATTTGGCTACTATGGTCCTTGGGGTTTTTATTTTGGGTTCTCTTTCAGGAGGTGATCGGTGGATTCTTTCAATGACTATTTTACTCTCTGAGTGTAGGACCTTAGGGCAGTTTTCCTTGATAATTTCTTGAAAGATGCTATCTAGGCTCTTTTTTGATCATGGCTTTCAGGTAGACCAGTAATTCTTAAATTACATCTCCTGGATCTGTTTTCCAGGTCAGTTGTTTTTCCAATGAGATATTTTATGTTTTCTTCTATTTTTTCATTCTTTTGATTTTGTTTGACTGATTCTTGATGCCTCATAGAATCATTAGTTTCCACTTGTCCAATTCTAATTTTTAGTGAATTTTTTCTTCAGTTAGCTTTTGCACCTCCCTCTCAATTTGGCCAATTCTACTTTTTAAGGAGGTCTTCTCTTCAGTGCATTTTTGTACCTCCTTTTCCATTTGGCCAAATTGTATTTTTTAAGGAGTTATTTTCTTCGATCAATTTTTGTCCTTCCTTTTCTAAGCTATTGATTCTGTCTTACATACTTCTCATTTCTTTTCCCAATTTTTCTCTTCTTATTATTTGACTTTTAAAATCCTTCTTGAGCTCTTCCAAGAAGGCTTTTTGGGCTTGGGACCAATTCATACATCCCTTTGAGGTTTCAGATGTAGGTTTATTGACAATGTTTTCCTCTTATCAGTTTGTGTTTTGATCTTCCCTGTCACCATAATAATTCTCTGTGGTCAATGTTCTTTTCTCCTTTTTGCTCATGGTGTTTGCATATTTCCTGGCTTTTAAAGTTGAGCTCTCCTGCTGGAGCACAGGGGGCACTATCACAAACTTCTTGTGTTGGGGACCAGAGGCATGGTCAATGGCTTTGTGTGCTGGAGCCTTAGATGCTAGCAGTTGGAGGCTGTAGGTGTCTGGTGGCTTACCTGGTGCTGAGCTAGGATGCTAGTGGGGGTATCTGATACGTGCTGAGACCAGGTGGGGTTTTTCTGCATTTCCCAATTGATGGCCACATACTTTGTTTCTTGTTCTTTGCCACCATAAAAAGTACAGCTATAAATATTTTGCTGTATATGAGGCATTTCTTTTTATCATTGAATTCCTTGGGGGCATATGCCTAGCAGTAGAATCTCTAGATTAAAGGGTATAGACATTTTAGTCAGTTTCTTAGCATAATTGCTTTCTGTACTGGTTAACCAATTCATAACTCCATCATCACTAAATTAGGGTATTCTTCTTTCCCAAATCTATCTTTTGTCATCTTTCCCAATTTGTTTGGTTAAACCTCAATATTTTTTAAATGCATTTTTCTTAAATTTAATGAATTGGAGTATTCTTTCGTATGGTTGATAATAGTTTGCAGTTTAAACCTTACATTTTCATACTGATGGTAGGTCCCTATGTTGGCAAAGGGACAAGGTGATCAGTCTAGGCTCAAAATTAGTTGTAGTAAGAGAGGGAGTTTACTTGCCAAAAGGAACATAGCTTAAGCAGGCACATGACTTAGTGGTTTCAATCCCAACATAGTTAGGGGGGTGGCAGTTTATGGCAGTTCACCCAAGTTACTATAAGATACCCCACTCCCACCTCAAACTATGGGCATTCAGGTATTGGGGTACATCCCTTCAATAGGTTTCTGACTCTGTCCCCAACCCTTTAGTCTCCAATCTACTACTGGTGTAATTGAGGAGGGAGAGACATGGCTCCATTCAAATCTACCACCTGGTGGCAGGGTAACTTCCCATTCCCTATTTAGAGTTTAGGAACTGCGCTGTACCCCCTCCTATGTCACATTCCTAGATTCAGCTTGGGTAGGAGGTATCCAAGGTGTTGGAGTAATATTTAATTGCAGGGAGAGGAGGCAGCTGGTTTAGACTTCCCTTGACCCTGGTGGAAAGATGGTCCCAGTTGGACGGATGGCAGTGATTGAACAATGTTCACCACAGGAGCCCAAAGTATTACTCTCGTACCCTTCTCATATTACTCTCCATTGTTGAAGCCCATTACCAATACTTCTGGGCCTGGAGTATTGTCTTGCTTTAGTGCAGATCTAGATTTAAGCACATGTTATAGAGGGAAATGAAGTTGAAAGTGAATAGGATCATAATAACCTCAGCAGCAACTCTGATCAATCCTTGACTTTCCCTTCCAATCATGGGTTCATAATTTCCCTCCAAGAAGTCTTCCCTAATTAGCTCTCCTTTGGTCATACCAGTTCACTCAAGTATTTATTACATATGTGCCAGGCACTTCTAAGTGGTAGATATAACTTTATAGTCCCTGCTCTTCGGGAACTAATGAGGAAAATATACACAAAAAAACATATGAAGAACAATACAAGTGGTGCAGTGGTTAGAGCAATGGAAGCAGTTAGGAAGAGCTGGATTCAAATCTAGCCTCAGACACATACTACCTACTTAACTCTTAGGCAAGACAGTAAAGCTTTTGGGATGCACTGTTATGAATTGGTAATGCAATGTGTGATTACTTTGATAGCTCTTTTATCTTCCTGATGTCTTAGGAATGTCTCAAAACGTATTTGTATTCCCTGAACGTATTTGTATTCCCTAAATGTAAATCAGATTCATTGTAAGGAAATTGCCTAAAAGTGTATAGGGGATTTTAGACCATATCTTGAAAATTGCTGAAGCAAGTAATCTCAAAGTAACTGATCATACATAGAAAGTTAAAATGAGTACAATTCCCCTGGTTATTTTCTTCTCCCCTAGACATAATCTTCCCACCTAATTTCAGCTGAGTGACTTAGTTGATTTCTTTCCCCACTTCTCCAGGTTTAGGGCTTCAGCAAAGAGACAGCACAAAGAGTATCTTGAAGCAAGAAGCTCCAGAAATGAAGGAATCTTCCAGTGGGTTGTTGGCAGAATCTGACACTGGCAGGGCCCAGCATCTGTTTGATGACTGGGGTAGAGCCAATGGTGAGACCAAGGAGCCTAAATTGGAAGAACAATTGAAGACTCCACCAATGGAAGGAAAAATGAATAAATCCAACACCCCAGCAAAGGGCCAAGGAAAATTAGTTGGCCATGAGAGAACTGACACAGAGGAAAAACCATTTAAGTGCCTGGACTGTGGAAAATGCTTTGGCCGAAGCACTCATCTCAGTCTCCATCGGAGGACCCACACTGGTGAAAAGCCCTACAAGTGTGGAGATTGTGGTCGGTGCTTCAGTGATGGTTCTGCCCTAATCCGCCATCAGCGGATCCACACAGGTGAAAGGCCCTACAAGTGTAAGGAGTGTGGAAAATGCTTTGGCCGAAGCTCTCATCTAGAGTTGCATCAGCGGACCCATCTTGGAGAGAAGCCCTACAAGTGCCCTGAGTGTGGCAAAGGGTTCCGTGACAGCTCAGGTTTGGCCAGACACCAGGGCATCCATACTGGTGCCAGTCCCTACAAGTGTAGTACATGTGGCAAGAGCTTTAATGACAGCTCAGCTTTCATCCGTCACCAGCGCATCCACACAGGTGAAAAGCCCTATGTGTGTGTGGAGTGTGGCAAGAGTTTCAGTGACAGTTCCAATTTCCGTACACACCAGAAATCTCATTGGGAGGAAAAGCCCTTCAAATGCACAGCTTGTGCAAAGAGCTATGTGCGTAGGTCAGACCTTGTCATACACCAGAGGACACACACTGGTGAGAAGCCTTACCAATGCAGTGACTGTGGCAAGAGCTTCAACCAGAGGTCTGGCCTCATTATCCACCAAACCACTCACACAGGGCAGAAACCCTTCAGCTGTAGCAAGTGTGGGAAGAGTTTTGGGCACCACTCATATCTCCTGAAACATCAGAGGACTCATTTTAGAGAGTTTCCAGAGAAAACCCTAGAATAAAGAGACATGCCCTTTATTCTTGCCAAATGAGCCTCCTCTAGGTCATCAGCCATTCATGCACCTAGCCAGGTCAGCAGCATCCATTTTGGAGAGGGCTAGATGGGATGTGTGTGAACCTTGTGAGTATTAAACTCATGACCTATACCTTACTAGCACCAGTGGGGCCCTTATATTCAGTAGATTATCTCATTTACCCCAACAATTATTAACAAGGTGGGTTTACTCTTCCCGTTGAGTAGATGAGAAACTGATACCCAGAGAAGAGAAGGGACTGGGCCTGAGGGCATGATGAGAGTTTAGCTTGAGGAGCCAAGATCAGTTTCCTATCTGGCTTAGGAGAGGCTTATTAACATTATCTTTCTTTGTACTAGAATCCTAATCCTTTTTCTAAAAGTGCAATTTGAAAAGCATAGTCCAGGTATGGAGGGTTCTGTCCCACCATGATTTTCAACTTTTTCCTGCTTGCTAGAAACCCTCTGAAATGTTTTAATCACTTTGGAGAAAATTCAGAGGGCCATAAAAGCAATTAAATGTTTTCTAATATAAATGCATGTGGAAACCCATCTCACATGTATCTGTGGTTCCCTTATGCTGTATCACTTGAAGTTGTTAGAATTATTCTCTGGTTTCATGGCCTGTATCTTGTGGAACAACTTCCTTAAAGAATTCCAGGCCACTAAGAAGAATTTCTAGGTACATGCTTTGTGAATTGAATACGGTCCAGCCACCTCCTTTTGTAGGTAAGGAAATAAAGAGAAGTAAATTGATTTACCCAATGTCATACAGGGACTTATTTGCAGACTAAGAATGTGAACCTAGATTTTGATTTTCTATCCATTGTTTTTTGTGCCCACATCATGTTACAATAATCATTGCCTTGACAGTTTTACTGTTAAAGCACCTCAATTAGAGAATGGAAACCCATGACGTGGCAAAGAACTGGAAACTAAGGGGGTGTCCATCAATTGGAGAATGGCTAAACAAATTATAGTACATGAATATTATACTTAGCATAAGAGATGAGGAAAGGAACATATTTTGGGGAAACCTGGGGAAGACTTTTCTGAACTGATGCAGAGTGAAGTAAGGATTACCAAGAGAACAATTTACATAATAACAACATTGTAAAGACAACTTTGAAAGACTAATCAATGCAATGACCAAGCATGATTCCCGAAAAATGGTACTAAAGCTTGCTATTCCGGGAAATGGTGATGGACTCAAAATGCAAGATGAAACATATGTTTGTAGACATGGACAATGTGGGAACTTGTTTTGCTTGACTATGCATATCCCACTTTCCCCTCCCCCCCTACACCTGCCCCAAAGAAAGGAAATGGCAGGTAGGACAGAATAAATGCTTGTTAATTTTTAAAAAGAGTAAAATAAAAGAAGTTACATAAAATAAGTAGTTTTGTGGATTCTTTCAATTTCCTAACAAACAGACTTTCCCCTTCTTCCCTGTTATTCCTCCCTAAGCCTTCCTTTGAGATCCAGTATCTCCTACAGCAGTGGTTCTCAAGTTTTTCCATAATAGTAGAACCCTTCTAGTAAAGTCTTCTAAAATTATTTTTAATGCCTATTACCCAACAGTATAAAGTTCATTGAAAAACTTGGGATGTTTCATTCCTTGCAGCACAGTGAAATATTGCCCTAATAGGAATTAGCCATGATAGAGTTACCCAGGATCAGGATTGATGAACCCTTATTGCTGTTCCATATTTCACCAATATATGTAGCAGTGCACCACATCCTGGTAGAAGTCTAGCCTTCCAAGCATTGGAAAAGACTAGATAGACTTGTAATCCAAGATTGGGGTACCGATGTCCTTTAGGCCACATGGAATCAGGATCATGGGATTTAGACCTGGAAAGAACCTTAATTCAAAACTGGGCAAAAGTATTCTACTGTTGAAAGTGGGGCTTATCAATTTAAGAGCCTTAGAATTTCTAAAGATCTAAAGGTGACATGGTAGTGTTTTTCATATACCAAATCACTAGCTAACAAAACTTTTCAGTACCTGTTGGGGGTTCTACTAATGAAACAAATTAATTAAACAGGGCTTCAACAAAATACAAAAGCAATAAAAAGGGCTGAGACTGTGGTTAGGTGAAAAAAATAAAAGAAGAAATAAAGCACTTATCAATGTTCATTGCTTCTGTACATATGTTTATGGGGAAACTAAAATCCTTTTTTATATTGTACATATGTACATAAAGGATATGTACACATGATGTACATAACATCAAGTTAAGTATAGTGATCTAGCTTATACTATTTCCTTTAGGGTCCAAAAGGAGTTTGGCCATACCTGGGAGGCCAAAGGATCAGAGAGGAAAACAAGTGGGAGTGGATTTTGTTTGGTTTATAGGTTTGGTTTTATTTCTCAGGATAACTTCATTTTAAATGTTATTAGCAAGTTTGCTTTACACTTATGTTGAAGGCTATGTTGTGTTTTGTCAACACATAGGTGGTATCTATGATGGGGTGAATGGTAGAAGGGTAGCAGTTAATAATTTCCAGTACAGTCTGACTAACTTTCTTTAAAGCCAAACTTATGTTCAATTTTGTGTTCCATGTTTTAGGAAGGGCATTGACAAGCTGGAGAGCATCTAGAGGAAGGCAAATGTAATAGCAAAGGGCTTGAAAATCATGTCATATAAAGATCACCTTAAAAAATGGGATGTTTAGCTATGAAAAAGAAGCTTGGGGCAACATGATAGTGTCCTTCTTGTATGAAGGGTGATGGGGCTGAGGAAATGGGCCACTTCTGGTGACATATACTTTCAGACTGTTGCTGAAACGAATGCATGACCCGAAATTCCTGACTGGTTACTTAGTTCCCATGACGGGAGATGGGGCACTGAGTGTGTATTATGGCCACTTCTGATGACATGTGATCTGGCCTATTGCTGAACAATATGCAGGAGTAGAGCTGACTACCTCTATGACAGTGGAGTGGGGGCTGTGCCAAAGAAAACTGACCAGAGTCAGGAGGAGATACCCATTCAAATTTAAAAGGAAAAACTTCTTCTCTTCAACCATGTTGGAACTCTCCTTTAGTGAAAAGAGTATTCCCCATCCTCCCCCAGGCAGCTTTGACAGCTGTATACACATGGCAATAAAGTGTATATGCTTCTCTGAATGACCCTCAATAGATCCTGTTTCTAGCTGCCTCTTTCTCTGAGCATAGGTTACTTAACAGTGGTCATGAGAGATGTCTGGAATAATTGAGATCCAAATTTCTGTACAATCTTGAGAAAATGGACACTGCTATGCATTCTTGGCTGACCAGAAGACAATGACTAACTTGTTGCTCAGATGGTGTGGACTGAGGTGAAAGTGAAATCTGTGCCAGTTATGTGTTTCCCTGGATTCTTTATCTCTCAGGAAAGTATTATGGAGATGATGGGCTTTTATGAGCCTTTTGTTTTATTTCTATTTCTTATTTTAAGCACATGTTCGTGAGTGCTTATGAACTTTTTATATATTAAGCTTTTTTTTTTTTTTTGGTGAAGCAAGCAGCTATCTTAAACTTGCTATCTACTGTATACATTTAAGTAGCTTTCTAGAAAGTATCTTAATCCTTTCAGGGTGGGCCCTAGATACACACCATACTTTATACTTAACTTTAAAAGATTTTCCCTGGAGATCTATTATGAAGTAGAGATATGAGCCATAGTTCAAGAAAAGCCTGAATGCCCCTTGAAGGCCGGGGCGGGGGTGGGGGGCAGGATGAGGGGTTTGGGGGGAGAGATCAAGCTCTCCTCAGACTGAAGTCAACTTATTTGAGCTGAGCTTGGGCCCTGGGGTAGGGATATATAAAGACATAGTTTTTACAACTTCTCTTGCACCTTAAGAGTTGCTTGGGATCCTTCAGAGGCTAAGTGACTTGTACAGGGTCACACACCGAGCTATTACAGATGGGACCACAGACACAGTAAATGCTGCACTAGTATTCCAAGAGATCACAAGATGTCTAGCAAGTAAGGCAGACCCCTTCTAGTGAGTTCATGGAAAGGTGGAGAGTCAAACAAGATAAGCAAGCATGGATAGATTGTGATCAGCATCACAAGAAATATCTATATTAATGAGATCACAGATTCATTGAAATATTCAGTGTCATGTATATTATAACTCTTCTTGAATAAAGTATGCCATAAGAAGTTTCTGAGTATTCTTTAAGCATTTGGCTGCTTTCATTTCTTGCTCCTGAACCATATCTTCCAATATGGTGTTTCACTATCATTCTTTACATTTTCTTAACTAATATTCATCTTCTATCCCAACTTACTCATGTAGTAAAAATACATGCAATGTAGTAAAAAACAAAAAAGCAAAAAACCAGGTAGTAAATATACATTGTCAAGCAAACGCTCCAAAATTTCATGTCTCATGACTCATCCTGAATCTTTCTTGCCTATCAGGTGGATAGCAGAGTACATCATCAGTCTTATGGAATCACGGCTGGCATTGTGTTGATTTAAAATTCTTAAGTTATCTTAACAATGTTGTTATAATTTGTTCTTCTGCTTCTATCACTTATTTCCACCTCAGTTCATACACATCTTACTGGATTTTGCTCAAACTACCTTTCATTATCTCTTATGGCACAATAGTATTATATTACATTCATATGCCATAATTTGTTTAGCCATTCCAATTTATAGGCATTTCCTTGGTTTTCAGTTGATACTATAAAAGAGCTGGTACATTTTTAAATTTATGGGTTTTTTTGTTCTTTTATCTCTAGGAAATAGGCCTTGTAGAGGTTTTCTGGGTCAAAAGGCTTTTGAGGTCAAAGTCTTTTGAAGCATAGTTCCAAATTACTTTCTAGAATGGCTATGCCAATTCATAATTTCACCAAAACTGTACCAACCTTTGAGTTAAAGTCAGAGCACTAAAGCCTACTTACTTGGAAGGCTCCAAGTTCTTTGCAGTTATTTACCACTTCTATCCCCTGCAACAGATGAACTGCAAATACCTTTACAAAGTTCATTTATGCTCGTCAAAAGCATTGTGAAGGGAGATGAGAACCTGCATTTAATAGTACATTCCTTTTATCATATGGTTATTTTCCCAGGAAGTATGTTAATGACGGTTTAATCCCTCTAGCACTGTTTGCTGCTCAAGGGTCACATGTTTAGGATACCAGGAGTGCATATTTCTGCATGACCTAAAAAGTACATGCTACACATTGGCATTTAGAAATATCTTAGTTTGTAGCTAATGACAAATTTAAAAGATTTACTTTATTGAAGAACTTCACACATTTATTGCTTTATTAAAGAATTTAATACATATATATCCCCCCACCACCACTGAAGTCTTGCCATAATGACTTATCGTGTGAAAGTGAATCTGGGCTCTTAAAAGTTGTCCCTGTAAATTACAAGTCGTAGCAAGGATTTAGGTGTTGGCCTGGTCATGGATTCTGTGTCAGCTAAACAAGGCCCTGTCCAGTTAAGTTTGAAGAAATTCATCATCATACCAGCTGTAAATATTTTTTTCCTTTTTATTTTTTAATAGTATTTTTCCCAATTACATATCAGGACAATTTTTAGCATTCACTTTTACAAGATTTTGAGTTTCACATTTTTCTCCCTCTCTCCCCTCCCCTTTTCTGAAAATGGTAGGCAATTTGATGTTATACATGTGCTATCATGTAAAACTTATATTTACTAATACTAGAACACTAATGTTTACATTAGTCACAGCTGTGAAACAGAAAAGAAAAAAAAAGAATAAAGTGAAAATATGCTTTGATCTCCATTCAGAGTCCATCAGTTCTTTATCTGGATGTGGACAGCATATTCCTGAGTCCTTTGTAGTTGGATCATTACGTTGCTGAGAAGAGCTGAGTCATTCATACTTGATCATCACACAAAGTTGCTGAAACCGTGTACAATGTTTTCCTGGTTTTGCTCATTTCATTTTGCATCAGTTTCCACAAGACTTTCCAGGTTTTTTCTGATATGTGCCTGTTCATTATTTCTTATTGCACAATAGCATTCCATTTTGTTCAGCCATCCCAATTGATAGG